TCTAGACTTCCTTTCCAGCACATAGCAAAAACCTGACTGACCTCATTCTACATTTTGCAAGTAGTCAGTTTGCTTTTCTTAGTGAAATTGTTACTACAAAAGTGAGCAATGCAACTTCCCTTCTGCTTAATGATAGTTTCAGATATGTTCAGCCGAGGAGCGAGAGGGAACATACTCAGTGTTTTGAGGGTGAGTTTAGGACGGACAAGTATTTCTTGCACAGAAGATAATCAACAGCTGAAATTGATTGGTAAGAGGATTAAAAAACAAAAGCTTAATGCTGTTAAAGGAGGACCATAAAAATGCTATTTAATAAATAATCCTTGCATTTGATATAGAGCTTTTCATGTCTTCTAGATGTCTCAAAGCGCTTCACTGTAAAGTGAATTGACTTGGCGAAACGCAGCAGCCGATTGCACACAGCAGTGTCCCACAAGCAGTCGTGGATTGAAGTTCTAAATGAATGCGCTTTACTTCAAATGGAAGAGCCTTGACAGATGCAATAATGTTTTGCTCTGCACTATGTCATGTTGATTGCATTTACTGGATGTGCCAAATGTTGTAACTATTAGATACTCAGAAACCAGAATACACGCAGATTCTTTTGTTCTGCACTTCAAAAAGCCAGCAAAGACTCTCAGTGTTTTACCAATGAATATTTGTAGAGTACAGGCTACCTGTGTAAATCTTCACATTCAAACTGTGAGCCATTAAGATTTTAAACTACATACTTCAAGCAGTCTTTTATAATTCTCATCCACGAGGATTAGAAAAGGAAACCTACTCTGTTATCTACCTTTCACAATAGTTTAAAGCCCCGTGCAAATGATTCAGAATTTGTGCTTGTGCTGCAACAATTCCAATGTTCTTTTCACCAATTTATCCTAGGATCTGCACATACTTCCTCTAATAGTGTGGAGCCTGTGACAAAATACTTATATATATTTTACACGTGACTGTGGCATGAATCCAGCTAGTGATCATAAGCATGGTCGAAGAGTAATCTGAATAAGGGGCAGGAAGGGGCAAAGTGGAGGATTGAGGGAGGGAGCCCCAAAGTTTCAGGCCGCCGATGGTGGAGCGGAGGGATCGAGGGACAAGCAGGAAGCTAGAGCCGGGCAAGTGGAGTGGCGGGTGGTGGATTGGAGAAATAGGGAGGTGCCAGGGTGTGAAGGAATTTGTAGATGAGTGTGAGGATCTTGAAGTCAATCCGTTCTGTGTTACAGGTGCTTGTGGAGCCTGAGAAGAATTGGTGTCACGGGGGAACAGAGTTTAGTATACAGATGGCAGAGTTTAATTATTTGGATTTTGCGGATAGTGGAGCTGGGGAGGGCATTGGAATATTCAAGACGAGAAGTGACTGAAGCATGGATGAGGTTTACGACTGTGTTGGGTGTGAGGTACAGGTGGGAAATTTGACGAGGTAAAAGAAAACAGTGCTGGTCGGGACCAGATGAGGGTAGCGAGGGCAGCTGGTGATTGAACCTGATGCTTACGTTACGCAAACAAGGTTCTGATTGCTTTAAGTCATCTCTTCAGTACAGAAATGGTTCCTCGATCTTTAACTGAGTTATGTTAAGTTTCCTGACAGGTTCGGGGAATTTCCAACATTTCAGCGCATCATAGAAAACGTAGAGAAGATCATAAGGTAAAGGAGGAATCTCCCTGACCTTTTTCCTCTGGTATTTTACTTTCCAGGTAATTCAGAGTATTTATTATCAATCTATGCTATGTATCTATTCTTGAAATTCAGTACCTTTCTTATGGAAATTACACAATTCAAAGATTAGGCAGTCTTTCCTTTCAAATTACGATGTTAGCAATTTAACTAACACCATAATATTTTACCTTGGTTTGCTCTAACAAATAGTGTGGGAGCCAACAGTTCAAAATAGAACCTTGCATGAAGCATAATTGATATAAATTAAATTTATTTGCTTGGCAATATATGGACTGTTGAGGGAGATTCTATCGAAATAATAGAGGGACATTTATCCTTATAATAACTGAAGAAACGAAAGGAATATAAAGAGCAATCCGATATAATGTGGTGTTCTGGATTCAATTTCCTAGATTCTGCGATACAACGAAGTGTGGAAAATAGTTGACTTCTAGGTCGTTAGGTCACCATAGGCAACGCTTCCTGAGCCTTGTACATGATTTTGCCTACAAAATATATAGTCAATTCACTTTACAGTAGATTCTGTGAAGAGCTTTGAGACGTGATATGGCGCTATATCAAATGCAAGGATATTTTTATTGTTATTATGATGTAACTGAGCGTGATATACACTTATTTATTTCACAATATAATAATGATTTAGCCACATTGACTGGTCCTAACATTAATAGTTGTGTTGCTTAATTCCAAATCGATAGAATGTTTTAGTTTACTTTTCTGGAAGTATTTAAATAGTGGCCAATTTAATACTCAATGAGACCTAAGAATATCTATTGTGGTCAGATTTTTGTTAAGAGTTCATGTATTATAGATTGAAGGTCATGGATGTTGAAGGAGGTAAATGGACACAGGCTATGCATTGGGGAGATGCGTGACTGTATAGCATGAATCCAGTCAGTGCAGATATTGCCACTTAAATAATCCATCAGTTGCTGGATGTTTTGTACTGCTGGGTGATTGTCTCTATTTGCTTTGAGAATAAGCAGAACCAAGTGCTACATTCAGCACTTAACAATTATCTTCTTAATGTGGCTAATGTGATCCAATTTAATTTTAAATCTCAGCTACAATTTATTGCTTTGCGTAATGTTTGTGGCGACAAAAGAAAAAAAGCCTGGATTGGAACAGGAATGTAATTTTTCTCCGTAAATGCAATATTTACCTACACTTTGCTTTTATTCTTCGTGAAGGGCACTATACTCAAAATGAAAGTTGTTGTTGTTTATCACTGTCTAGTACCATATTGCTTTATTGTTTGAAAATAGTTCATTCTAATTCAGCACAATGGAATGAGTCCAGTTTGGACTCCAATGTTTCTGATAAAGAATGAATGAAGTAGCTTACAAAAGCAAGGACTCCAACATACTCTTTAGATTGAATCATTCTTCAAATCACACTTTATTTTAGTCGTTTCAAACTGAACTCTTAGTTTACACAGCAATTGAATTCCACAGTCAAAGGTGTGGGTTGCTTAGAAATGGCAAAGATAAACATTATATTCTGTTTGTTGAGTTAGGTGATCTCAACTGGAGCATGATAATATCTGAGTTGAAACTTTAGAGAACTAGTCTCCTCATTGAGATGAGAGATTCCGTAAACCTGACTGCAGTCTAAAGGTTAGCTACTGACAATACAAGAAAAGTCCATAGTCAAATATTTAAAACACACAAGACGGAACTGGGAGTCCAGGCAAAGAGTTGCACTCTGGACCAAAACCACAGCTTTTAGTTGCATAATCGTGTCCTATGGCATATTAGTTAGAACACTCGCCTCGCAAGCGAGAGGACCTGGATTTGATTCTCGGGCAGGGTGAAACCTTGGGCAAACCTTCCTTACTCCATCCACCTCTGTTTATCTAGTAGTAAGTAGGAACTTGGTTGTTAGTCGATTGGCGGATCGCTTTTCTGGGTGTAATAATCCCTTAAAGAAAACTTAGTCATTCAATCCATGACTGTTTGTGGGACACTGCTGTGCGATATTGGCTGTAGCGTTTGGCCGACAAAATATACAGTCAATTCACTTTACAGTATATTCTGTTAAGCACTTTGAGAAGTCTCGAACATGTGATAAGATGCTATATAAAACACAAGAATTATTATTAGCATTGCTCTATATGTTTATGTGCAGAAACTTGTAATGTATGTGTAATAGGAGCATGCTCACAGTGGGTGGGGGTCTAAAATACAGTGTTTACAAACTGCATCTGCAAAGTATTTGTAAATATTGAATCCTAGTGGCAACTGGATGTATGTCTTGCTGGAACTCCTCTCTTGGATGTATGGAGTAGAGTTCTTGCCAGTTAGTGGTACCCACACACAATTACTCAAACACACGATCGAAAATATTACAAATCCTTTACAAACCTAGGTTACAAATGATGTACAAAATATTTGACCTCAGAGAGTGCGAAAACGGAAATCCAGAGATGTCTTTCAATCTCTCTTGTCTTATCTTTTATTTATTTGGCATTCAAGAATGCGTGTGTGACAAATATCTACTGTAATCCAAGATCTTGTTGATGCCTGAGCAATCTGCTGGCTCATCAATGACGTATCTTTGCATTTGATAACGCCCTTTATATCTCAAATTGCATCACAGAAGTTTTGTAAAGACATACTTTGTGGGTGAATGCACCAGCCAAGTTACATACAACAGTGTCCCACAAAGAGCCATGAAATGAATCATCAATTTATCTAGAGGATTGCTTCCCTGGACACCGGGAGAAACTCCCTTCTCTTTTCGAATGGTGGTGCAGGACGTTTAATGTCTACTGATAAACGAGACCTCATCTGATGCATCTCTGACAATACAGCATTCTCTGACAATCAGTGGACTATCGTCTAAGCAAGATAGCTTGGTGATTTGATTGATGCCATATTTGCATGGAGACGTGGGTCACAGTTGGGTCATTTGTGTCACCATTATACCACAGCGTCAAATTAAGCTGAATATTCATTGTACCATTCTAAAATTGCTGGCTGCTTTCTGAGTTGAAAGAGAATCTTTATCAGCCTTTCAGTTATTATCCGGTGTTGTTATCCGGCTCCTCTTCCTCGCCTTACTTCTCAAACAATTCAAATGGCAGCGCACTTTAGGACAAACATTTTTCATTGTTTGTGTCTAGAATAATGATATTAATCATGTATCTATCATTTTTATTTATCTATAACAAGGCTGTACTGTCCTCCAAACGGCAGCCCCAAGAATTGCTATTAAGTTCCATAAATGATGACTTGACACAGAAACCATCTCTGGTTTACATATTCTTTCCACAAAGTCAGCCCCATGAAAATGAATAAAATCACACCACTGAAGAGATAATGCAAATGATTTTCTCATTTATTCATAGACCCCAGAATATGTCACACTTCACATTGTATACATTACATTGTGTTTAAATTTCATATTCATATCCAATGGATCATTAAACTAAACAGCTTACTCAGCAAATACTACCAATGCAAACGTGCTTTGTTCTTAATAAGCTACAACGACACGAAGATGCTATGCAGGGAAGCTTTTCTAAAGCAAAACAAATCCAGCTGCTTTAATTTGTTGAGGTGAAGCTCAATATTTTTGAGACATTTGTTCCAATCTTTTGCTGCAACATAAAAGGAAGTACAATAAACTTCAAGTCACTCAGCCTTGTTATAAAGAAAGATTTCTACAGAGAGCAAACAGGTGAGTATCTCTTATTAAAAAAAACAATTACCTCAAATTTTTCAAGTTTCGTTTCACCCAACCAGCATTTGGGTTTGCACATATTTCTCGTCGTTTGACAGTGTAGAATCTGTGTAGGAGTATTAAAATAGATTTGTCAATTAAATGAGCATGATCAAAAACTAATTAGGTTTTTTCTCTCTTTCGGAATGATTTATGGATAAGTACAGTTACAGCTATAAATACAAGCTCCTTGCTATGATTTTCTAATCTTTTTACATAGTCTCTCCTCTTGTTACCTGTATTAATTTCTTGCTCACTGTTCTATCTGTCTAAAGGCATGGATCTCAAAACTACGAGCTTGATTCAGTTGGCAACACTTTCAATTCTCAGTCAGAGGCAATGAGTTTGAGACCCACACCAAAATCTAGGCTATCAGCCCAAACAACGGTGTTGCAATGTTGGGAGATCTATTCAGACATTTAAAGCATTGTGACTGAAAGCAAACTCTCCTTAGCTCTTGTCCAAACTCCCCCCCAAAACAACATATGATGATAATGCTGCCTATCTAACAAAAGTCATATAATTATTAATAATGCTTGCATTTGATATAGCACCGTATCATGTCTTCGAGACGTCTCAATGCGCTTCACAGAATATACTGTAAAGTGAATTGACTGTGTATTTTGTGGGCGAAGCACACAATTAATTAATTAATTAATTGATTAATTACTTCAGAGAGTAACTAATTTAATTAAATGTTTATCAACATGATAGGATTCTACATCAAATTCAAGTATTATACTGCATTAAGTATTTGCCACTAAATTACTTGTCCGTTCCTTTTACTTACATGATGGCATCTATATCACACATTTCATTGGATTCTTGATGCACATAGCCAGTGATAGCTCCAACTGGCACCGGTCTGCTCGAATGACCGATACAGCAGTCTACTTTTGCGGCAACTGAAACAGAGAACAAGTATTTTACAAATCATTTAAATCAACAAATCATTATTATTTGTGTGTTTTTATTAAAGGTTAAATAATAGAGAAACCTGTGTGACAAAGTAAAACTTACATGCTGACATGTTAAATGCAAACAGTGAGATCAAAGCAGCCATAATGGCAAGGTTCCTGGTGGCAGTCATTGTATCTCAGATTGCTTTCAGTGATCTCTTCAGTACAGAAATGATCCGTGGATCTTTGGTTGAGATGTGTTGAGTCTTCTGACGGGTTTATATACACTCAAGGTAATTAAGCACATTTTAGCGTTGCAGTGCATCATGGAAGTTCTAATATAATGTAGATATATTCAGGAGGAGGAACCTCAGCGACCAGTTTCCTCTTCGATAATTTTTGCTGAATTTGCACTGCAATTTGATGTTATTACACAAATGGTTTACCACAATTGATTATCTCCATCCTGCAGTCAGTCACCTATTTTCACAGTGGCGACCATCCATTTCCTTGGCATCTTCAACCACCTCATTTTTTGCTGATGTGGGTTTGTTTCGCAGGTATTGGTCACCCACCAGTATTTTCTCCAAATGACTTTTCTCATGCATGATTTCATTGATACCTTCATGTCCTTTGCAGATCACAGATAAACCCCACCTTGCCCTCATCCAAAGTTCACACTTATGTACTTTCCAGCCTTTGAATAGGTTTCAAGAGTTGGAGCTGTGGCTAATTTTCTTCTCACCCCAGCAGCACCGAGGAGGTGGTACATACCCACTATTGATGGGTTGGCACCTCTGAAACTATACCTTAGTTCCTCATCGGAGGAGGGGGTGGGGATGGGGTGAGTTAGGCAGCCCAAATAGAAATGGGACTCACTGTTCCAAACTGGGCAAGTCCCTCAAGGTTATTAATAATTCCTTTCATAGCACTTCTCATATCGAGAGGATGTCTCAAGGCACATCACAGGATTTATTGAGGGCAGTGACTGTGTATTTGTAGGTAGCTCAATAGCACACAGCAACTTACTACAAACAGCCATGAAATGAATGAATGACCAGTTTTATTCAGGCCACTTTTATTTGGGCCAATTTTATTGACCAGGACACCAGGAGAAACTCCCTTAATGGACTCTTTCTTAAAAAAAAACTAATTATTAGTAGATTTTGGTTGATTCAAGTAACATTGTTTCTTGTGATATTTGACCATTTATCTACCCTCTGCCGCCTCTCTTTCTCCTCCCACATGATGTATTTGGGCAGTAAGCAAGTAGCCTGAATACAATGTCATGATAAAGATAATGATGTTTGTATTATCAGAAGATTTCCGTTGAATTTTAATCATTTAACCAAAGCTTTGCTATCCTGTTTGTGTCTCAATCTCTCTTCCCCAGAGAAACTCAAAACAAAGGCTTTGGTGAAAGTTGTAATAACATAGAATTTGCAAAAGTTATTTTGCCTGCAGGTGAAACCAATAATAAATAATTTTGTAGAGCACTGTAATATCAGCTTAAAACACACAAAACACTAATTTGATTGTGTGTACTGACTGCAATACCCTATAGAGTACTCACAGGGAAATTATTGTTTTCTTCCATTAGCTTTGATCTGGGAACTGGAGATAAAATTCATGTTTAAGTTCCAATTCAAGTTCCAAGTTATTCAGAGCTATCGTAAATCCACCCCTCCTGATCCCAACCCCCTGCTCCACTCCAAACCCTGACTGTGCAGCACCTTGGGACATCCTCCCGGTGTGAAAGGCGCTCTACAAATATAATTTATTGGTGTGGCAAGGCTTCAGTCTTCTTAAATACTGTACTGAAAAATGTTGTATTTCTTTGGAATAGCCTAAGGGAGGCTTCTGAACATTATACAATTTACATTTATATTGCACCTTACATGTCGTGCGGAGGCACGATAGCGCAATACAATCTGTGCTGGTTTCTTTTTGGTCAGCTGGGTGTGTGACATTTGTGAAAATCTATCACCATGTTTAAGAGTATCTCGACCAGACTGAGAGTACCACATATGTATGTATAGCCATGGAAATTTACCTGTGTTTCGAATGCAATGTACACTCTCTCCCTTGAGGGACGCACTCTGCTCACCTAATTCTGGACAGCGTTAGAAACAGGTTGATGAGAATCAGGCTTGGGACCTGAGATTGTGTATTTTGAATACTACTGGAATTTACCTGCTAAAACTGTTTTGCACTGTCTGGCAGCTTCCCACTGTGAGTCCAATTAGGATCACCCTACCTATTCAGGCTACCTCTGGGTTCGTAGAGTCAATAGGAGCCGAGTGGGAAGAATCCCTATCCCTAATGACTGGTCTTCCTGTCCAAGTCCTGCTGTTGAGCCAGGCTGGCTGGTCTGTCACGAGCAGTGCCTTGGTTTACTACAGATCCTCTTGGCTCAGGAACTGGACCAGCACTGCTATTAACTGTTACTATGACAAACGTGGGGGGGTGGGGGGTGTTGGGAAGTTGCCTCTGCGCACTCCCTTTGCCGGGTGCAGTTACAAATGGGGCCTTGTACACCCCTCCTTATCCATCCCCTCTTAGTGGGGAGTGTGGGCAGGTTCACAGCAATCTATGGTTCACATCCTATGGGATGTGCACACATTTCTTTGGGATGCTTCCTTTAAGACAGTCGGGAATCGCCCCTGTGTGCACTACATCCTTGTGTACGCCCTGATAAGCCGCACTTGCCGCTTTCGGACGGCGTCCCGATGTACGTACACGTTTACCCAAACACACACCCGGAGACCTGACAAGCACATACACATACGCTATATACCTGGCCAGTCCCACCTGTACCGTGGCATTCCTGCCGGGGTTCTGTTCCCCTTTTCTACAGGGAGCAGTTACACAGGCGGGCCAGCCCCTTCTCTGCCGTCATTTTACGGGACGGTGAGCTTTTACCTCACTCCCTGCCACTCCTCCTTTTATGGGAGGGGGCAGGCAGACATACATACATCTTTGGGATCTTTGGGATGTTTACATCTTGTACATTTACATGGTTACACACGTATTTATTCACAGTTTTGGGTGCGCTTGTGGGTTACCCGGTTTGCATGCCCTGATGTCTCTCTTATTAATAACCTTTCATTTTATCTGATTATCAAGTGAAAGAACCAGTTTAAAAAGCTAACCACAGTAACCCAGGTTTTCTTTACGGAATCGCCTATTCTTTGCTACAGAGTCATTGGTGATTGCTCAGATGAATAAAATAATGTTGGACCTTTGTTATTTATAGAGTAGAGATTTAAATGAATTTGCATTACACTGTCAATTTACCACATACATGTCTAACTCATTCTATCGTGCGGGAGATTTAATTTAACGAGGGCACTCTCCTCTGCTACGTGCTACATCTCTGCTAAGGAAGAAGAAAAACAGAACACATGTTTCTGCAGTGATAATATAAGGCGCTTTATTAAAGTGAATGCTGAAGTGTGGTGTCTGTAAAAAAAAAATAATTATAATAATCCTTGCAATTGATTTAGCACTTTAACACTGCATTGAAACGGGCATTTATATCATGGGATCTTTACCTGAACAGTCAGACAGGGCCTCATTTTAAAGGCTCAGCTGAAGGATAGCGATTCCAACAATGCATAGTTCCCCCAGTACTGTATGTCGACCTAGAGCAGAGTGCCGCAGCCTTTTGGTGGTCCAATACTTTACTATTTAAAACATCTGGAAATGGTCACGTGGAGATGTCTGGAAATCCACTACAAAAGAGCACTTTTAAATAAAAGAAAGATGTTGAACAGTTAAAATGAATAAAAGAACGTGATTGTTTGTATTGTGTGAATATGGATTTGAAGATCTCACCCCTAAAAGTTAACCCCAGTGCTATAATTGGTACAAGGATAGACCCGATTGCACAAATTGCTCGTTGCCCAAGGAGTGCATTCAAAGAATTTGACTCTTGTTTACTTTGTGAACTAGCTAATCGGATTAGCTAATCGGAATGTTTGGCTGACTGAAACAGAAAACTTCCATTTAGATCACCTGCTTCTTTAATTAGATACTTCCTTTTTTACCCAACCGCTGCATTTTATGTTATTTACATCACAGCACCTATGACCTCCTAAAATTTAAGGGGTTTTCCTACCCTTTCATTTGCTCTCTGATTTTTTTAAATTCACCTTGGGCCAGACTTTGACCGTCTTGCTGAGCTCCTTGATTCCTCTTTACTTTCCTCATTCCTTTCTCGTCCCTCTTTATTCTCATCTCGTAGCTCAATTCCGTGTCTGATCTCTGATCACTTTGGAAAGTTGCTGGGCACAATGCCAGGTGCATAACATCATACATAGTGTGCCCATTGTACTTAACAGCCATTTAACAGAGTGGCTTATATCTCCAGTCATTTAATATCGTGTGTGAGACACGGGGTAGCTCCAGGATGCTGTCCCACATGAAGGGCGCTATATAAATGTAAGTTGTTGTTGTTGTTGTTGTGTGTCTTGCCATTCAATTCAATATTGAATCAGATTTTCATGCTTGCCTACTACTAGTTTATTGCCAGATTACTTCTCCTGTAACAAGTTCACTTGCTCTCTCAGCAGTTTTCTGGTGTCCCTTCTGATGCTATAATAAATCCATACCATCAACAGCAGTCCAATATGTGCTTTGGACACAGATCGAAACTGTACTTTTACATTAAACAGTGAAGCAAAATGGTTTCATTTACATGAATGACTGGAACAGATTGCCAGGAAGGGAGGTTAAGGCTAGGACACTGGACTCATTTAAAAAGCAACGTGATGCTGTGTTAGAAGACATTTGATGGGTATTCTGGAGGGTTGAGATCAGATGGGCTGAAGGGCTCCTTCATCCAAATCAATCTGGTGAGTAAACTAGTAGAGAAATGGTGGATAAGACCAGGGGACCACTATTCCATTGGGTTGGAGCAAGGATTAAGTAAAGAGAAACCACATCGAGGGGTTACAGTGTGCTACAGGACGTGCTGCAGACAGGTGGGACCAGTCTCGGTAACTGAGGCTTTTACAATGCATGGTATAAATAGGTTAATTTTGTGAGCAAAGTGGTTATTTCAAGCATTGAACCCAAGTCAAATTGCAAACCTCCACAAAAGGGAAATAATATATGATGCAGGAAGTGAAATGTGATACATTTCCATTTGAATTTTCTTAAAGATAAAGGGACTCAGTAACTTTCCTATTTGAATTTGATATGCTTTCAGAAAAAAACTACACCTGAAGATGAACAATCTAATTTGGTATG